ACAGCTCCCTCCAGAGCTAGAGCCTCCTCCAGAGCCTCCTCCGCCTCCACAGATGGAACCTCCACTGCCATAGCTCGATCCTCCATGACCTGAGCTTCCAGAGCCTCCAGAAATGGACCCTCTTCTCCCACCAGAGCTGCCTCCAGAGCCTCCTCCTCCTCCTCCTCCTCCACAGATGGACCCTCCACTGCCGTAGCTCGATCCACCATGACCTGAGCTTCCAGAGCCTCCAGAAATCGACCCTCTCCTGCCACAGCTGCCTCCAGAGCCAGAGCTTCCTCCTCCTCCACAGATGGAGCCTCCACTTCCATAGCTTGATCCACCATGACCTGAGCTTCCAGAGCCTCCAGAAATCGACCCTCTCCTGCCACAGCTGCCTCCAGAGCCAGAGCTTCCTCCTCCTCCACAGATGGAGCCTCCACTTCCATAGCTCGATCCACCATGACCTGAGCTTCCACCTTCACCCGATATGGACCCCCTTCTACCACCAGAGCTGCCTCCTCCTCCTCTTCCTCTTCCTCCTCCTCCTCCACAGATGGAGCCACCACTGCCATAGCTCGATCCACCATGACCTGAGCTTCCAGAGCCTCCAGAAATCGACCCTCTTCTCCCACCAGAGCTGCCTCCAGAGCCTCCTCCTCCTCCACAGATGGAGCCGCCACTGCCATAGCTCGACCCACCATGTCCTGAGCTTCCAGAGCCTCCAGAAATAGACCCACTGCCTCCATAACTTCCTCCAGAACCTGAGCCGCCTCCTCCTCCTCCACAGATGGACCCTCCACTGCCGTAGCTTGATCCACCATGACCTGAGCTTCCACCTTCACCCGATATGGACCCTCTTCTCCCACCAGAGCTGCCTCCAGAGCCTCCTCCTCCTCCTCCTCCTCCACAGATTGACCCTCCACTGCCATAGCTCGATCCGCCATGACCTGAGCTTCCAGAGCCTCCAGAAATGGACCCTCTCCTGCCACAGCTCCCTCCAGAGCTAGAGCCTCCTCCAGAGCCTCCTCCTCCTCCACAGATGGACCCTCCACTGCCATAGCTCGATCCACCATGACCTGAGCTTCCAGAGCCTCCAGAAATGGACCCTCTCCTGCCACAGCTCCCTCCAGAGCTAGAGCCTCCTCCTCCTCCACAGATGGAGCCTCCACTTCCATAGCTTGGTTCACCATGACCTGAGCTTCCAGAGCCTCCAGAAATGGACCCTCTTCTCCCACCAGAGCTGCCTCCAGAGCCTCCTCCTCCTCCACAGATGGACCCAGAGCTGCCTCCAGAGCTAGAGCTTCCTCCTCCTCCTCCACAGATGGACCCTCCACTGCCATAGCTCGATCCACCATGACCTGAGCTTCCAGAGCCTCCAGAAATGGACCCTCTCCTGCCACAGCTGCCTCCAGAGCTAGAGCCTCCTCCAGAGCCTCCTCCTCCTCCACAGATGGAGCCTCCACTTCCATAGCTTGATCCACCATGACCTGAGCTCCCAGAGCCTCCAGAAATCGACCCTCTTCTACCACCAGAGCTGCCTCCAGAGCTAGAGCTTCCTCCTCCACAGATGGACCCTCCACTGCCATAGCTCGATCCACCATGACCTGAGCTTCCACCTTCACCCGATATGGACCCCTCTTCTCCCACCAGAGCTGCCTCCTCCTCCTCCTCCTCCTCCACAGATGGACCCTCCACTGCCGTAGCTTGATCCACCATGACCTGAGCTTCCACCTTCACCCGATATGGACCCCCTTCTACCACCAGAGCTGCCTCCAGAGCCTCCTCCTCCTCCACAGATGGACCCTCCACTGCCATAGCTTGATCCACCATGACCTGAGCTTCCAGAGCCTCCAGAAATGGACCCTCTCCTGCCACAGCTGCCTCCAGAGCTAGAGCCTCCTCCAGAGCCTCCTCCTCCTCCTCCACAGATGGAGCCGCCACTGCCATAGCTCGATCCACTATGACTTGAACTTCCAGAGCTCCCATACTTGGACCCACCACCTCCAGAGCTTCCTCCAGAGGCAGAACCTCCTCCTCCACAGATGGAGCCGCCACTGCCGTAGCTTGATCCACCATGTCCTGAGCTCCCAGAGCTTCCGTACTTGGTTCCACCTCCTCCGGAGCTTCCCCCTACTCCAGATCCAGAACCTCCTCCTTTGCAGATGGGCCCTCCACTTCCATAGCTCGATCCTCCTTGACCTGCACTTCCAGAACTCCCGTACTTGGACCCACCTCCTCCAGAACCTCCTCCTCCCCCACAGATGGACCCTCCACTGCCATAGCTCGATCCACTATGACCTGAGCTTCCAGAGCTCCCATACTTGGACCCACCACCTCCAGAGCTTCCTCCAGATCCAGAACCTCCTCCTTTGCAGATGGACCCTCCACTTCCATAGCTCGATCCTCCTTGACCTGCACTTCCAGAACTCCCATACTTTGACCCACCTCCTCCAGAGCTTCCTCCTTCTCCACAGATGGATCCTCCACTGCCATAACTCACACCCCCAGGTTCTGAGCTTGCACCCACTCCTCCCTTTTCTGACATCGAACCTTTCCTTCCAGAGTTTTTTCTACCACCAGAGTTCATCCCTCCCTTCCCTGTTTTCACATCACCGGAGTCTCTTCCAAAGCCACCAGCAGAACTCACAGTGTGTTTAACAATACCTGCAAGGAATGAAAACATATCCACCTCATTTTTTGGCTGTAAGTATTATAAGCAAAATTCATATATATATATATATATATATATATAATGGCTGTCACCATAGCTTCTCTAGTATTCATAATGGTATCAGTTTGTATTGTCAGCAAGGTTCTTAATTTATCATTATAGTAATGAAATTTTGCCTGATCTGGTTCTGGGTCTTATGGCTTGACCAGCTTATGTTTTACATGATCTGTCTTACACTGCGAGTGAACATACAGTGCAGCCTTTTCTTTTAGGAAGGAAAGCACTGGTCAGTCTTTCCTTTAGCTCCTACTTTCATAGATTTGAAGACTTTTTTTTTCATTTAGTTCTGACATTTTAGTTCTGACCGTATGGACATTCTAAGTGATATATTTCCTGTTTCCTAGAGATTTGGTTCAATTTAACTGTTAAGTTCAAAATTTAGTAGATCAAGATTGACACATACATTAGCATATAACTGTGTATGTACAAGCATGTACACACCCTCTCAGAAGGGAGTACCATTTACTTCGTTTCCCTAGGAAAGTAATGTAGAAGCACATGGGGTTGTTCTGGTGCTGCTGACAGCAGAATTGTAACAGTGCCCTTAAGAAAGCAAAGCAAAACCTCAAGATACTTACAGATCGTGGCTGGTGCGCCTTCTTGTATCCTGTGGATGAAAAGCAGCACTGAGACGATGCAGCCAATAAATACAAAAGTAAGCCTAGGCTCTATCAACAGGCTGAAAAATCTCATCCCTTAAAGGCAGCAGTTCTCCTAAGTGATGGGTGAGAGGATGGGACAGAGTGCACAGCACGGCTGCTCGCAGCCAGGGGGAACAGCCTGTACCTACCTGGTCTCCTCCTCCTCGAGCAGTGACCTGTACATGGCAATTTCAATATCTAGGGCCAATTTCACATTCAGGAGCTCCTGATAATCATGAAGAATTTGAGCCAGGTTATCTCTGGCCTGCTGCAGGGCGTTCTCCAGCTCCTGAAGCTTTCTCTGGCCGTCTCTGACAGCAGAGCTCCCACGCTGCTCAGCATCCTTAATGGCTTCTTCATGTTCAGCGTTCTGCAGAGGGCACAGAGAGAATGCATCTGTAGCCCTCCAACAGAACAGGGATTTTCCAGCTCTCCCGCCTCAGTGACAGAGCTCAAACAATACAACACCTGATTAGGTTAATCAACTCAAATTACAACCCGGTGTAGACACCCAAAATCTAAATCTGCTTCATTTTGAAGAGCAAATATCATCTCTAGGTTTGCCTCCAAAGGACAGGCTGCATTGAGCTGAGTGCAGGGCAGGCTGCGTTTAGTCCCCGTGTAAGAATGACCTGAATAGTTCGGTCTTGTTGGAAAGTATCAGCTTTACCTTTTTCCTTACGATTTCAATTTCCGGTTGGAGTCTTTGGATCTGCCTGGTAAGTTCCTGGATTTCCTGGTAACTATTCTTTAGTTGCTCCCGTTGATTTACCCACATGTTCTGAAGGTCCTGGTACTGATGTGCAGCAAGAAGAGAACAGAATTTTTGGTTTCTGGGCCAAGGAACCCCAAGCCAGGCACGGACTTGCCTCCCTGCCTAGATGATGCCTACTCACCCTGCCTCGGTACATGGCATCTACTTCAGCTTTGCTTTTCTGAGCAATTGCTTCATACTCCTGCCTGACCTCCTCAACGACGCCATCCATGTTCAGCTCCCTGTTGTTGTCCATGGACAGAACAATGTTGGTGTTGCCAGCCACTGTTTGCAGCTGGGACAGCTCCTGCGAGGAAAACAAGATTTGGGATTTCAACAGCCAACTGAGCAGTTCAGGCCCTGTTAGGAGGAACAACACGGGACCTCGGGACAGTTACCACCAGAGTTCCCCTGCACACCCCAGGTCCTATCGCTCCACCACCAGCTGTAATTGTCAAGTGTCTCTTCCAGCCTTCATGACATACCTGCCCCCTTCCTCACTCACAGATAAAAAACAATTTTATTAGATGCAAGGCCAAGGATGACCCACTCTACAACACCACCCTAAACACAAAGGGGAAATTTCCTGAAGCCTCCAAAGATGCGTGTGCTTCCTGACCCAAGGGGAAGTTTTTAACCAGAGGCATACTCACAGCATCATGCAAGCATCTGAGGAACTCAAGTTCCTGCTTCAGTATTTCCACCCGAACTTCAAACTCCATCTTCCCCATGTAGGCACTGTCCAGCTCCTGCAAGAAAAACCACAGACTCTTATGTGTCTTTGATGGCAAACACTCCACCAAAATGCTATTCTTGCAAGACTTGATAATATTTAATTAAGCCCTCATTCCCGGAGTCAGAGAATCTCAGCTTCATTTGAAAATTTCTCTCCTTGCTTGCAGTGAGAGATCTGGTTTTATATTACTCCAGTTAGAGGAGTTCAGTTAAGCAAAACCTCCACTGTTGCAAACCTCATCAACCATCCAGTTGCTGTTTTATTTCTGAGGCTTTGAGTTAACTCAGCGTCCCGCATTACTTCACCTTTTTAAGTTCCACAAACTCCTCTTCCTTGGATGTGCGCTTGTTGATTTCATCCTCAAATCTATCACAGCAGAGAAAAGAAATATGTAGCTCATTGCCTGTCTTAATTTTTCAGTCAAGTGGCTCAGAAAGCAAATGGTATGGCCCAAACAGTGAATGTGTCAAGCTTTTATTTAACTTCATTTAATTTCTGGCAGCTGCAAAACCATTGGCAAACCCTCTGCACAGGCATAAGCTACGTCAACAGACAGAACATGCTGTGCATCATCTACCATGCCCTCGTGACTTCAAACTCGTTTCATGTAGACAAGCATTATGTCTCTTGGGTGCCACTGAGCCAGCAGAAGCGACTCTTCTCAACTTGCCCCCCTGCTCAGCTCTGTCCCTCCTCCCCCTGCCTCCAGGTTTACCAAACCCCTGCCAGGGAAGCAGGGGTGAGGGATCCAGGGCTGCTCGCTGCCTGGGGGAGGCAGGGCATGAAGGAGGACCAAAAGGATAAATCCACAGATTTATCCTGTCACTGCGCTGGGTTCTACCCCCACCAGATCCACTCTGCTCTTCCAGCTTCAGCATCCCACAGTGAACCTGCCGCAGAGCAGTGCTACAGTGACTACAAAACACTTGAAGGCAAGAACCTAAGCCATACCATCCCAGAGCACAATTATCACTGCTTTGGAAAATCCCAGCTCTACAATCTGCCTTTTCCCAGTCTTGAGATCATTCACCTCTTTTTGTAATCTTCAACAAGCTGAAGCATATTATAGGCTTCTGGATCCAGCTGCTCCTTCTGGCTCTGGAGTGTCTCCAGCTGCCTCTGCAGGTTGCTGATGTATGACTGGAAGAACGTGGCGATGTTCCTGCTCTCCTCCGGGTGGGAGCTCTGCTGCTGCAGAAGTTCCCACTTGGTCATCAGGGCCTGGTTCTGCCGCTCAAGACATTGAACCTGGAAGGCAAAGCAGAGGAGTATGGCAGCAGCACATAGGCAAGAAGAAACAACCCCTTCACAGACCACACAGGACCACTCCATAAATACCTCTCGCCTTAGAGAAGGGTATCAGAAAGACCTACACTGTGCAGAGCTGGCATTTTTGGAAAACTAAAGGGACAGCAAAAAAGGTTGTAAGCTGGGAGCTGACATCCAGAACGTTCCAAAAAAAAAAAAAAAAAAAAGAAAAAGTCAAAGGTGCTCCTATTTTTTCAGCAATAAGCTTGCTTAAAATAGCTGGGTGTAACCAACGAGTTTCTGTAAGGTGATACAAGAAGCCCTTATGTCTTCACGTGGGACAAATAACACCAGCTTCCACCCCGTACAGAGACTCACGTGAACACCCAAACAGAGGCACATGCCAGGTCCATGTGGGTGGAAGTGTTTTTCTGGATGTTTTGATCCCGTGCCTGTGAGTAGGAATGGCTGGGAAGATAAGACTGCACGTAGAGGTGGAGGCGTTGGGCATAACGCAAAGAAAGGTAAAGAACAACGTGGGGGCCACCGGCCACTGGGAAGAGGCTCAGGGCTCCAAGCAAAGGAGTTACTCTCTGCTTCATGGTCGGTAGAAATGTGACTTTTGCTTTGCTTGGGAAAAAGAAACAGATCATACCAAGGATGTCCAAGTCTACCACCCGTTCCTCTTGCTAGCACAAACAATTCTGGAGCCCCAGGACACAACTAGCCATGTACATAACCTTTTCCTCTAAAGGGAAATGAGTTACGATGTCAGTGACATCCTGGCAGTTTGTTATTGTCTTGCCACAAAAGACAACTCAGAGATACTTATCCCAGGGCTAAATGTGATTCATGCAGAAGCATTTATAGCAAGCTATTAACAACTTCACACCAGCGTAAGGGAATCCAGGGGAATTTTGGGGCAGAGGATGCAATGTAAAAGGGGATCAGATGCCTGAATCAGGTGTGTCCCCATGTCTCGTGGGCACTGAAGCACCCCTGCTGTTCCCCCCTCCTGGATAAGAAGTCCAAAAAGAACAGGGACTCACCTTATCGATGAATGATGCGAATTTGTTGTTGAGAGTCTTAATCTGTTCTTTCTCATCTGACCGCATCCTCTGGAACTCGGGGTCAACTTGTACTTGTATCGGCCTCAGCAGGCTGGTGTTGACGCGGACTTCCTCGATGCCTCTGCTGATGCCAGCATGTCCAAAGTCCCGTCCAGCCCCTTGCTCGCTAAAGGCAAGGCCAAGATATCCACCACGTGCCCCTCCGCCTGGTCCTCCTCCGTACACGCTACCACCACTGTGAAAATCTCCCACAAAACACCCTCTTCTTCCAAAGCCCCTATCAAAATATCTCCCACCACCGAACCCCAGGCACCTGCCATATCCTCCTTCTCCTCCATAGCCTCCACCGGGATAAACATTCCTAAACCCTCCGAGGCTGTGGAGACTCCTGCTGCCGTACCCATACCCGTAACCACCGCATCTCTCCTCTCTGTCGCCTTCCCAATGGCTCATGGCAGCCGCGCTCCTCCCACTCCCCAGTGTGCCGCAGTGAGCAGAAGAAGAGCTGAAGTACCCGTCCCCAAATCTGGAGAACTGGTGGCTCATCGCGCTGCTTTCGGAGTGTTAGGGCAAGATGAGCAAGCAGGTGGGGATGGTGCAAAACAGGAGCAGAAACGAGTGAAGGATCCTCAGCTCCTCTGCTGGGGTGACAGAAGTTCTCCTTTATATGATCTGGGGGAGTTAGCCTCCATTCCGTGGTAATTAGCAGGTCTGTTAATATTGTTATTGGATTGGTTCATCAGGCAGCAATTAATGGGTGCTTGAATAGGGGACGGAGTAAACACCACACACCAATGGAGGAATTGTGAAACTATCCAAATCCTGCTTGACTCATGAGCTTTGCTCAGATGAGATTTCCTTATCTCATTAGCCTGCCCTCCATCATTAATTACAACTCGCACAGTTATCCATATGCATTACCATGGTTTGTCCTCTCTTGAATTTCCCCCCTGCTTTGGGCATTTCATTTTACGAGACGTGAGGTCTTGGTATTGCCCTCATAGTGACTTGGGCTGGGGTCGACCCACCTTGCTTCGTGCCATCACCCAAAGTAAGTGCTACACAAAGCAGGCTGCGTCCTGCTGCTCACACCACTGAAAGCCTCCAGCTTTGACTAATATCTCATAAAAGTGAGCAAAATCCAATCCATAGTCTCCAGAAGCACGGGTCGAACAATTTCCATGGGACAAGCTCCTCTCCCTGGTCCCTCGCACAGCTTTTGAATGCACTGGGCTGCACCTCGAGAGGATGCGCCTCCTCCCAAGGGTGCTGGACCGAGCCCCCCAGGTACGTGGGTTACGTGGCCAGGGCTTCACAGACCCCACCCTGGGTCCCTTGGGAAGAGACTCAGAACCCCCTGAATGGGAGGTTTGCAGGGAGAGCTGAGGTACTTACAAGTGAGTGGGCTGAAACCTTGGAGCATCATTAGGCTCAGTAGGGGATTAGCACAATGCCAGATTTGCTTCCAGCTGCACCAGGCCACTGCAGGCACCTCACAAGGAAGTGCTGCACAAAAAACAGTGCCCACACAAAACCGGTGCCCTAAACTAACGCACCAGTTCCCCACGCAAAGCAAACCACGTGGCTGATGAAACATGCAGAAGCTCTGCACTGCTCTCCGAGGCACCAGCATCCCACAAACCCTGCAGGAGGAGCAGCCATCCTGCCCCGCGTGCCGTGTAAACTGGGCTGCTGCTGGGACCAGCACTGGTATGGCCCAGCCCCAGCACTGCATGGCCTCGAAACGGCTCAGCCTTGGCACAGCTCAGCCTCAACACAAACCAGCCTTGGCACGAATCAACCTTGGCACAGTGGCCCCAGCCACGCCTGGACCTGCTGAGCTGGCTGCAGAAGCAGTGATGCGTCTGGGCTCAGAGATGCTCGTGCATCCTGCGGAGGAAGGAGATGCCTCCTGCTGCCCCGCAGCCAGTTGGCATCACTCTCAGACGCCTCCGAGTAGCTCTGACACTTCACAGGAAACAGCAAGGCACACGTGGACCAAAAAGAAACAGCAGGAGAGGTCCCAACACGCATAGACCACAAGGACCACAGACCCAACACGTCCTTCCCTTGGGGGTGGATGATGCCGAGTCTGTCGGGGCATGAGGCCCTTCAGGGGCCATGTGAGTCCCCCGGTTCTTTGGGTAGGGGGTTGAAGCAAATTAAAATAGTATCCAAAAGATGTCCAATTTACTGCCCAGTCTGCTTCTCGTGCTCAAGGAAATGGATCTACTCTTGCAAAGGACCATTTAATCCACCCAAAACAGAAAGCTTAAATGGCTAAGATAGGCCAAGGAAGAAAAATGTGCAAGATCTTCTTCTGGTCACCCAGGGACACAAACCAATGCCCTTTACAAGCCATGTTCGATGAGCACTGCAAGGAAATTGGCAGCCACTGGACACACAGCAGTATGGTACAGTAGTCCATTAATAAATACAGTACTTAAACTTAATAGCAGTGCAGATGGAAGAGATAGACGCGCATACACGGGATTGAAATTGCAGATCTTGAGCACTGATTGCCTAAATACCTGTGTAAGTAGAGCCCTCAGACACCCAGGAAATGGGACTGGGGTCACTTAGGCACACCTATAAAAATGCTTCTTGTCCCACAGACTTTCGTTTTCCCCCACCTTCCATCGTCAGCACCAATGACAGCCATGAAGAGGCTGGAAGGGAGGAAGAGAAGGAAGAGAAGCAAAAGGGCCCCACATCAGGGCATGTGCGGAGCCAGGCAAATTGCCAGCCCAGCACACCAACACCACGAAGCTTCCTGGAGAGGAAAGTTGGGAGGTCTGGGTGCCCCCTAAGGCAGAATGGCTTTGAGACCGACAGAGGCTGTCAACAGGTCCTGCAGGCTGGGAATATTTTTGGGGGGGAAAAACACTCATTTGCCTCAGTAAACAGAAGTGCTTTGTGGAAACACACCAGTTCCATAGTGCAGAACCAGGGTGGGAAGTGATGGAGCCCAACAGCACCAGGAGCTGCTCCGTGGTGCAGATGCACAGAAGTAACCTGGGGACCACAGCAGCTTGGGGACAGCCCCACATCTCTGCTAGCACATGGGTGGTTGCCTTTTGGGCTGAAGAAGGCCAGAAAATGGGATTGGGTGGAGACCAAGACACCAGGGGACCAGCCTGTAGGAGGCTGGAACCAACACTCAAGCTCACAAGGACAGCATCAGCCAGGCCAAGGGCTCTGGGAGCATCATCCCTCCCTGGGGCTTCAGAGCGGGTGCTCAGCTCCAAGAAAGCCAAAGCCCTGCAGGATGGAGCCTCTCCATGTCCTTCCCTGCCTCCTCTCACCTGCAGGATCTGCTTTGCACGAGGTGGGCAGCACTAGGGCTCCCTTTCAGCCTCAGGTCTGGACCAGCAGGTATTCTTCTGGTACACATGCAGCATCACTTCGCCTTGCAGACCCGTTAACAAGTGACTAATGGCTAATTATTGCAGGGTAACAGGAAGGTAAACAAGTCTATAACTTAATTTTAACCACCTATAATATTAAATGATCTATTCTGAAAATACTAATCATAATTATAATATCTCTTAATCTCTTACTTCCCCTACAAGAATGTGAAAGTACCAATTTAACACAATGTGTGAAAATAATGAAGTCATTTTTCTACTGCTGTTACTAACTGCAGTGAGTGGATGAGGCAGAAGTTTGTTGCTTTCCTTACTTTACTTTATGCATCTGCACTTGTGAGGAGGTAGCGCAGGGCTGCTCTGATGCCCTGGAGCTGGGGTGTGCTGTGCTGGAGCCATGCAGAGATGAAATCTCCAAAGGGTTTCAGGAGAAATAGAGACGAGCTGCAGAATATTAATTAAAATAAATAAATAAATAAATAAATGGAAAAATGAGCTTGAGGAGGAAACTGGATTGAACTCTAGGTTAAATGTGCCAAGTGCCATGAAAAACCCCAACTTCTTCCTGTGTGCAGCTGCTCCTCAGCAGGCAAACATCAATGTAAAAGGCACCCATGACACAAATAAAGGAAAAAGATAATGGCCCCAGGAGTTGCAGCCCCCCAGGAGTCTGAGCTCTTGGGGCTGGCTTCCAGCAGCTCCCCAGGGCCAGCAGCCAAAGTGAGCCCGGTCCAAGCTGTGACCCCACACTGTGCCCAGCAGGACTTCCACAAAACCCAAGGAAACCCAGGAAATGCTGGAAACCTGCTCAGTGGGCCTGTCCTGTCCAGCTAGGTGGGGGATCAGCAGCTCTCAGTGGGAGAGAGCACACTGAAAGAGTCACAGCAGGCAGCCAAAGGCACTGCTTGTGATGGGAGCAATTTCAATAACATCCTTCCCACCCCAGTAGGAAGTTGAAACAGCTGGAAATAATTCTGGCAGATGTTCAGAATCCAGTAAACAATGTGATTAGCAGCCGGTAAAAGAAGTGGGTCCCTGTACTGCCTTCATTGTGCGGAGTGTCATTACAGTTGGGAAGGTCACCACACCCACACCATCATGCCTACGTCCCACCTGGGCTGGCCTCCCGCTTGGTTAGAGCTGATAATTAGTCTAATCAAGGTCAGACTTTGATCAATTGAGTAAATCACTCTTTTGAGTTATTGGAGCCTCAATTGCTGTCATTAGCTCTGCAGGAGCAATAACAGCACCCACAGGACAACAACGCCTGGTAGAGAACAGGCAAACCAACACCAAGTACCAGAATTTTGGTTCTTCTTAGACTAGACCTATGCCCAGCAAGTGAAGGCTCCATCAAAAGGTCACGTAGTGTAAGCACCTTGTGGTGCCCAACTCTAAAGGCATTTTGTCTCATTTGTCCCTATTTTGTCTAATCTTGCCATGCTGAGCTGCTGCTCAGAGCTGTCCCTTATCAAGAGGAGCTTCCCAGGAAGCATCCTCTCCTGCTTTCTTCTCTGCTCACACGTTGTCACCAAATGGCTCTCCTCCTGAGCCCCAGCTGTTTTGGCTCTCTTCTGCTGCACGTTGCAGGGAGACAAGCAGCAAACTCTGGGCAGTAAGGAGTAGCTGAGATGTGTGCGCATGTACAAGTTTTCTACAACACACTTGATGTCCTTTCTGAGCCCTCTAGTGGCACCTGCCACAGTCTGTGCCTTGAAGTCCTCTCAGAGCCATGAACTGCACAGCTCAGTGCAATTCACCGAGTCCTCAGCCCAGCCACAGGATGCCCCGGGACTGAAGCACCTCGCTGACGATGCTCTGGTAGCCTGATGCTACCACCCATCACTGCCCCACCACGAAATAACCCTCCTGCCCAGAAAAAGGACCTGGCAACCTGCTGCGGGCTGCCACAGCCCACCACAAGACTTCACATGGGAAAAGTCACGGCTCCCACCTTGCCGACAGGAGGCAGGAGTTTTGCTGGGGTCTCGATTTGCTCCTTCCATCGGCACCTTCTGAGCCCTGGGTTTGACACTGAGGCTGTGGGGTGCCAGCAAACCTTGGACCACAGTGACTTTGTGCATGGCAGCAGAGGTGGCAGAGGGGATCTGGCCTCTCTTTTCCCCCAAAAAACAATGTTTTCACCAGAAATTTGCTATACAACCAAAGCACTCTCCCAGCTGAGGACCTCTAACACTGCCATCCCCTCATCACAGGAGAAATACCTGCCACGGGGGGCCCTTCGTTCCCTTTCCTATGTCTGCAAGGAGCTGGGCTTGACTGGAGAGGCGAGAAGGGAGCGATCCAGGCCAGCTGATGGGCTTGGCTCCTTGGCTGCCAGCCCAGCCTCTGCTCCAGCAGGCTCCCAGCACCTGCGGAGGCGCAGACAGCACAAATGCCTTACTGGAGGGACTCCAGAGGGAGCTTTTTTGGGGGGAGGGAGGGAGGCGGGTGGCTCTGGGGACCCCCAGGACCAGCGCGAGGTCTGTGCCTGGGACAAAGACCCAGCTGAACCTGGACACACGTCAAGCCCTCTAAAGACGAGGCAAGGCTGAGGACCAGCAGCTCAGACAGACCTGTCACAAATGTAGTTATTTATTGGCAATGCAATGCCTCACTTGTCCTTTCATCCATCTGTCAGCAGGCAGCAAAGCACCACACACAGTCCTCCCTTTAGGTAGTGTTTTTCTCAACCACCTGAAGTTTGCATCTCAGCCTGGCACATAATTTTCAGGGCAGCCAATTTGTCGTCATCCCGGAGTGTGCGAGCACAGGGCACACACACGGGGTGTGTGTGTCCCTGCGCAGGCTGCAAGCCCTCTGCTGGCACCCAGTGACCGTATCCCTGATGTCTTCATCAGCACGCCGTGCCACGGGAGGCGTGGGTTGGCTTCAGCCCATGGTTAGCAGCGGGCATCGTTGTGCCACAGCCGGGGTGCTCAAGTAGCAATAGAGATGGTTAGAAAATGGGGAGTGTGGGGTCATGAGCGCAAACCTAAAGGAACATCAGCCAGTCCCCAGCGAGAGCATAGGAGCAAGACAAAGGGCACAGAAGCACCAAAATCCAAGCCAGTGAGTGTGAGGAAGAAGAGGAGGAAGGGTTGCTGGCAGCACTGGGTGCAGGTGATGCGGTTGCCAGAAGTTCAGTAAATCAAAATTCCCTCCTGTCCTCCTCCCAAGGCCAGATACTTGATGGATGATGGAGCACGTACAGAGGTCAGCTGAGGTTTTCTGCTGAGTATTTGAGCTATTCTCAAACTTGGACAAATAGAGTTGAAGGTGACTGAGCTGGGGGTGCTGCCATTCCTGTTCCAAGAGGAGATAAGGGACCGAAGGATGCTGGCTTCTGCGTTCAGCCCCAGCTCCCTGTGCTTCAGCTCTGCCCTGAACATCCCATCCTCCAGGACTCCGAGGAGTCCTGCTGCTCAGGAGACATGAGACAGGTAAATACAGCATCAAGGATGAGGAGGCAGATTACCCCAGGAGACAATGATCCCATCCTCTTCACAAAGCAGAGTCCCTCATAAAAGCAAATGCTGCCTGCTCACCAGCTGTTCGCTGTCCCATCCAGTGCAAAGTGCGTGAGTCTTCCCCGTGCTTGCTCAGTGACCAACCCAGGGGAAGCAGCCCTGGTAGCTCCTGAGGCCCTCCCATCATAAACACGATTAGCGACAATTAGAAACTCATTACAGCTCTAATTACAGCCAATATAAAGCCATTTGAATTCATTCCTCAATAAGCTCATAAAACTTGGCACCTATTGTATTTCTTTCCGAGTCCCAATGCAGGACAACTCACACCCTGGGCTGGGTAACGCGACGGACACCGACCCACGCTGGTTCCCTTCCCCTGCGTGCGGCCGTCCCAGCATCCGGGGCTGTCTTCACCCTCAGCAGGTCCTGATCCCCCTGATCCCCCTGACCCCTCTGATACCCCCGCATTGGAGGAGGGCTCGGGGTCCCACAACCCATGTCCAGTTGTCCCCTGAGCCGCAAGGCGCCCACCACCAGTGGTCTCGGACTGAGCCAGTTGGATACTGGGAGGGCCAGCAACCTGCGTCTGCCAGCCCCAGGTTACCTGGACTGGGTGATGGAGACTCAGTATGAAATCCTAGGACTGTGACATTTGCCATCTCACATTAAATGTCAGTCTTTGCAAGTGAAAAATGACCTGAAAATGCAAGCGGGTTCTTGTGAGCACCTAGGCAGAGCCCACAGGATGTCCCTGGGGGCACAGAAGCACACGTCCTTCTTGCAGAAAACCTTACAAATAACCCTCCCTGAAACAAGCCTGTATACTTTCATCCTATTTGCCCAAAATGGCAACACCTTGTGTCCCCCCCCCCCCAAAAAAATGTTAATAATTGAAGCAAAATCACTGCTCGGTGAGGTTGAGGCTGTTTCGCAAGTGAGTTCACTTCTCTCAAAGCAACCCCCTTCACTGCAAACACAGATCTGCTCTTAAACAGGAGCCCGCGGCAATCGCAGTGCCCCACGGAGCAAACGCAGGGAAGCCCAGTCACCGGGCTGTCACCATCCTTCTTTCAAGCAGGATGCACTTGAGCAATTAGCTCGACTCCCTTTTTTATGAGCCCAGCAGATGGGAACGATAAACTCCGGCACCTCCGCGTTTCGGCCTGGCCCCTCTCCAGGAGGAACTCAGGGAACTCGCAGGAGCCTGCGGCTTCCCGCGGGACCGAGCCTGCAGCTGGAGCCGCGGCGCGTGGAGCCAGCAGGTCTGGGGCACAGCCGAGCCGTGGCTTCCCCCGTTTCAGCACGTTGGAGACCTTCATTGTCTCTGAAAGAAGTCCCCAAGAACACTGCAGGGCTTTGTGTCGTCTGGGCCTGTACCTGTCCTTGGGCTTTTCACCAGGGCAGGGAAGTAGGAGATGTCTTCTTGATCTTTCCCACCCCAACCTACAAATTTTCAGAATCAGAAATGTCACTGGTTATACAAAGAAGAGTTCAGAGGAGAGCTATTCTTTCTTCCTCATTTCCTTTTTTTATTTGGATGTCAAGGACTCCAGATTAAAGCTCCGCTCCACTTCTGCCCTTTTGTCTGCCAGACGCCATCCTGCAGCAGGACAACGCACACAGCAGCACAGCCAAGGCTGATTCACCGACTGGTCCAGCTCTCGCTCCTCCCAATGCCGGGGAAGAATCCAGCCAAGCATTAATCAAATTAATTCGGGCGCAATGGGATGCAATTTACAGAGGGCTAATGACTAACCCAGCTGGGCAATCTGGAGTTATAATAGCAGGTTTGGGGCTGTGTCTCATCCTTTCACGTTGCTTTTCTTCGTGAGTAATTCGTGTCCGCACACCACCTTTGGGCATTCCCACCGCTCACGCAGGAGGTGGCCGTGTCAGAGCCCTGCTCGTCAGGCAGATGGTGCTGCTGCCCCAAGGGATCCGACCTGCCCTGGGGGTGGAGGACAGCCAGCCTTCACCAGGGCATTGGCCACCCGCTGCCCGTCTACTGCTCGTGTCCTCCACCATCAAGGCCTCCACTGTGTGCAGTGGGAGCTCCAGGCACCACCAACGGATCATGGCATCATGGAATGGTTTGGGTTGGAAGGGACCTTAAAGATCATCTAATTCCAACTGCCCTGCCATGGGCAGGGACGCCTCCCACCAGACCAGGTTGCCCAAAGCCCCATCCAACCTGGGCTTGAACACCTCCAGGGATGGAGCATCCACAGCTTCTCTGGGCAGCCTGTGCCAGTGCCTCAGCACCCTCTGAGTGATGAATTTCTTCCTTATATCTAATCTAAACATGCCCTCTTTTAGTCGGCCCTCTTTGGTCCCAATGGCCGTGTTCAAACTATCAAAGTTCAACTGCCACATCCCAGTGGATGTGTCCAAATGTCCCCTCACCAGTGCCTACATCCCAATAGCCGTGTTCAAACCACCCCAACCCAACTGCCACGTTCAGACCGCCACGTCCCAACAGCCACATCCCAGTGGCCGCGCTCAATCCGTGTGTCCCCTCCCTGTGTTACACCCACTGGCTCTCCTGCCCTGCGGAGACACATTCTGCTGGGGAGGAGCAGGATGCTGCCACGTGGCTCTCTGTGAGGAGGAGGAAGGTCCAGCTTCCTCCCTCTGCCTTTGGCTGGGAACTTCGTGGCCTCAGGGCCCAGGGGTGCTGAGAGATGGGGCTATGGGGTGCACCAGCTCCTGGGGACAGGCCACCTCCTGCAAGTCCCCCCCACGTCCTGCTGGATTTGCTCCGCAGGACAGACCCCACACCGCACCATTGCCTTGCCATTCCTATAGCAAAGAACAACGTCTGTTGCCCCTCGGGACCCTCCCCTCAGGAATGCTTAGTGATAACACAACACAAAGACATCTTTTCACCTGTCTGCAGTTTATTGGTAATGAAAGAACTCGGG